CGAAAGAAGGGGATACAGGGGAGATAAACATACAGGAGGAATATCGGCGCCATCTGGTAGCTCAAATGTATGCCGCACGTATGTCTTCCCGAGCTCTTCAAGATCCTCCGTCCAGTGGAAGTGTCGCAAAACGAAGTTCCACGCCGGGCTGTGTTCCTGCTCGTATTCAAATGGCTGGGTGAAGAATCTGGTTAGCCACCCTTGCTGCATAACCGTTCGCCACTCCAGAAGACGCACCTCGCTCGCACACAAGTAGTACATGTAGTCATAGCACAGCAGCTGGTCGTCGGGCAGCATTATATGTCCCTGTTCTGTGGGGCGCACAGGGTACGTCTCTGGGTCGGCAGTAATTTCCTCGTGGACCCGTGGCGCATCAAGCTTCGCGAGTGCCCAGAACGACGAGTGCGAATCATGCTCAAAGCCTGGGATCAACTTGACATTCGCCGGCGCGCGCGTGTACGAGATATCTAGTATGCCACATGAGTCCAACCTCGACGCAGACCATGAGGGCGGACGCACCGAGATTAAGCAGACGCGCCGTGTAGCTCCCCCGCGGCCCATCCGAGAACAGGTTGTCCACCTCCCAGATGTTCCAGCACCCAATCTCGTCTTGACCGTGATCCCGCTGGGCCTCCGCCGCGCCGAGATCCTTAATGTCCATCCACTCGAGAACGGGCGAGTCGAGCGCTCGTGCAAGGCGTGGGACGTCGAAAATCTCGGAGAATGGAAGCGGATCGGCGGCGGCGTTGATATGCGACGTGAATGGCGGGATAACTGGTACGCGCGAGGTGACCATAGCCAGAAAAACCATGTTTGCCTAGATTTGCCCAGAAAATCAGTCACAATTCGCCAAGAGGAAGAGACATGGTTGCGCACGATCGTCATAACATCATTTGCTGATAGGAGGTCAATATCGTACATGACAACAGAAATACAGTGACGCACTCCAGCCAGCAGACAGGAAGGATGTCAGGTATTTTGTGTCATTTCGCAGTGCATCTGTTTGATGTAAGTTCTCCGAATAAGAATATTGACGCAAGTGTACTTACCTCTGAAGTTCGCGGTCGGCGGACCCGCGAGAGAATGCACCGGCCTTAGATGCTCGTACTCGGGGCCGTACAAGTCCTCGTACAGCGTGTTGCCCTCAACCAAGTCAAACGTTAGACGCGTCTTGTTCGATGGCGACGCTTGTTCTGAATCCTCTTCCAGCACAGTGATTTCGCTTGACCATCGCGAGGTCCACACGCCCTCGTAGAGCACGAGTCCAAACAGCAGCGCGCCCACAACCACGAGTGATGTCGAGACCCACCGCCTGCGCAGCGTGAACTTCGGGATCGTCGGCGTCGGCGGGAGGTATATCGCCCCTAACCCGAAGCTGGTTGTGCGTGCATGCATGGGGGGCAGGACAGGGGCCATAGCGCGTCGCGCTCCTGCAAGAACTGGGGATGGACTCGGATTTGCACCGCTGGGGTCTGCGGTGGGGCCCGGCTCGCGCTCTTGTGGGCCTTCGCCGCTCATGGCGGGCTGCTCCAGGCGGGGAAGAGCGTAACGGAGACGACGTACGTCAAAAATTTCATTTGTTATATTCCACCTTGAGCCTGGGCGGAGGTTTCATCTTTCAGCCACTTTGTCAGGCACGGCGCCCCGCATTATAGTGTTACGATGTGTGGAGACAGGAGTATGCATCCTCTTTTTGTGGGGGAGGTAAGGCTCTTCTATGAATTGGTCCATACGTTGCCCATGAGAGTATACTGCAGACCTTTTGGTAGAAACCGTAGCGAACCGAAGAGGTGATGCAGCGAAGACGGGGATACAGAGGTCGGAGGCGTCAGCCACTGCCGGCAGCCCGCCATGAGCTAGCGCCCAGTCGATTGTCGATCATAATTGTCAATATTCAGGAGGGCCCGGGCCTGAATAACATGCGCATCTTCGCTCCTTGTCAGCGGGTTTACTGAATTGCAGGCCATCAATTCGTTGGATTGCCGGGATATGATTCCCCGGTCCCTTGAGAGGCGACAGTTTGGGAGAATTCTTCTGTTGCACAGCTCAGTCTGCGCCAGTGCCGTCGGTCAACCATAGCTCCACTCGTCAGGATTCCCTTGACACCCGTGATTCCAAGCGGAAAGCTTAAGTTATCCTCGAACCTTCTGGTTTTAGCTTCCCAACCAATATTGTTCTCAACGAGTTGCCACGGAATAGTGCCAGCGCTAGGTCTTTCGCGAGATCAATGCCGGACGCGAGTCGATAGTCTGTGAACTTGACAGGACGTACGGATATATGAGGTGTTCCCAGAACCAGCATGAGCTAGCTACAGCAATCACGGGTTTGACATCGATGGCAATGTCCGAATGCACTACCGTATGGTCATGCACGACACCTTTGCCAGCGAGTATCCTTTACGGTTTGTTGAACGAGAGCCCTAGTGTAAGTAACCCTTGGATGCTAGATTTCAGACTGACGCGGACAAGAGCACTATTGAGGCAAGACGACGAAAGATACTGATCGAGGGCGAACGTTAATGCAGTTTCCGTGAGATTCGGAGAATTTGAGCGCAATATTGCCGGGGGCTGGTGTTAGCCGGTACCCCGAAGCGGGGAGTAGAATCAGGCTCGACGAAAAGAGTACTGTTGGTTCTCCGCACGCCAAAAGTTCACAGTTGAGACAAGTGGAATTGGAAGCGACACTTTCAAAATGCGATGTCCTTCCACGCCATGCATGGGTGGCTGATTTGATGCTCTAAAAGTTGTCGCACTGATTTACTGTCCACTGGGACAGAATTACGAAGGCGCATGGACGTCATCGCATGAACTAGAGAGCACAAAGCAGTAGAAAGGGACTTTGAGCACCACGTAGAGCAGTGGAAGTGAATAAGAATACAAAACGAAGGTAACACATACCCATCTCTGCGGTACGAAAGCAACTTGTGAGTATCAATCGACACGTCTTCGTTTACCGCCATGATCCGCCTCTCCCGACCGCTCTCTCCGCCTCTCTCGACCACCATCCCTCTCCCGCCGTTCCGCCTCTCGCCACCGCTCCTTATCTCGCTCGTAGTCCCGTCGTGGCGGAGGTGAGCGAGAGCGCGAATATGATCGCCTCCGCCCCTCGTACCGGTCTCTATCCCCGTACCCGCCCCGTTCCCGCTCCCGACTTCGGTCACGGCGGTCAGACTTGTCGTACCCATACCGATCATCGCGCCGGCGGTCACGGTCGTCACGATCCCGGTCGCGCCACCCACCAGCACTCCGCCCGTCGTCCTTCGCGCCCCATTGCCGCACACCCTGTGGTGCGCTGTTCGCACCTGTCGCGCGTTGTCCGGGCGGGAGATCCCTATCCTTGTTCTGTGGGCAATCTACTCGCTGGCGGTCAGCTATTGCAGGAGCAGCACAGCGCCTCATTTACCCTTCTTAAGATGTGGCCCACCACACAGGAAGCAGCCGCCGCCCGCAGTATTTGTGCCCCCAGACTGCACGGAACCAGTCCCACCGAAGCCGCCGGCACTGACTGTCGTGTCCTGGTCGAGCAAGTGCGTGTACTTTGTCCGGCTGCGCTTGCCGAAGTTCTTGACCTGCATCACCTTCGGTAGCATCGACACATCCATTGTCGACTCTGTCGCCTCCGTGAAATCGTGCCGCTTCAAAATCTCCTCGTCCTGCATATTCCCTTTTTAGCGTTCATTGACGCAACATGCACGCAAGGCCGTGCTGAACATCAAGCAAGCACAACGCACCTGGTGGAAAGCGCCCTTGTGCCAGTACTTCTGGAGGAACTTCTGCTTTCCCTTGGGCTTCTCCTGCCTGGTCTTCTCCGCGCGCTCGAGGTCCTCTCGCAAGCGCTGCTCCTCAGGGAGGGCACGACGGCGCTCAACCTCCTCCCGCTCTAGCTCACGCGCAAGGGCTGCCTCCTTGTCGCGCTTGATCCGCGCAAGTTCCCGCAAGCGCCATGCCTCGAATTCGCCTGCGGGGTCAAGGCCGTCCGTATCGTCCACGTCGGGCACTTCTTCTTCCTTCTCCTCTGCAGCGAGGAACATAGGTTAGTTGTCGGATGTAAATGATGGCGGCATGAATGGTATGAGACGTACTCTCCAGCAGCTCGCGCCGGATGCTCTCCGCGACCATGTCGTGGCTCTGCTTTCGCCGCTCCTCGGCCTCGAGCTCCTTCTTGCGTAACGCTTCTTCCGTGTCCTGCGCCATTGCTTCTTTCTCCGCCACTGTTGCGCGCGCGCGTCTGTGGCACAATCGGTAGTTGACGTGGACATATACGTTGGATGCGCGATAGAGTAGGTCAGATGTGGGGAGGAATTCTCCGATTGTAGAGCACGGACTTTGGTACAAAGACAGGTCTGAACTGGAGTTTGGGCTTCTCCTCTTCAGATTCTTCCTCTTCACTCGTCTAGTAGCACCATAAAGATTAGTCGTGCCAAGCGGGGCGTACAGACTCTTACCTCCTCCTCCTCCTCCTCTTCCTCTTCTTCTCCAGCCTCTTCCTCCTCCTCTTCCTCTGCATAGCAACCTCAGTGTACATCATAACGCTTCACAGAGGTATGACTTACCTTCCTCGACCTCGACCTCTGTCCTTCCCACCTCCTCCCTTCCCGCTACAGTGACCTTCCCCTCTTTCGAGATATTCACGTCGCGTAGCTGAACATTGATGCCTCTCCTCTTGTCCACCTGCTCACGTGTGGTCAGGGTCAGTCCGTCCTCCTCTTCCTCTTCCTCTTCGATTGCGCCGATTGGGACATCGCCCTCCTCCGCAGGGGCCTCCTCAGCGTACTCGTCTTCCTCTTCAGATGTTACGTCGCCTTCATCGGCGCCACGTGGGGCTTTGCCTTTCCAATATCGTGCAGCAGGACGTGCAAGACGCGCGGCGGGCTTGCGGGACGCGGAGGACATGGTCGCCTGAATTTGGGAGAAGTGGCTGGAGAGTGCATGAGTGGCAGAGCTCAGCATCCATCTCAATACGGTGACACTATATATGGTTCCAAAGCGCTAACTAATACGTCCCGTTTAGCTCAGCTGGTAGAGCGCGTCACTAGTATTTCGAGTTATGACGAGGTCAGTCGTTCAAGTCGGCTAATGGGAAAGTGCCTTTTTTGCGCTATTTAGGACGCATCATCGCTACGCCAGACCCCAGTCTCTTCTGCAGTCAATAATAGACAAATAAGGGGTATATCTATACCAGATCTACACAAGTCCCTGACAACGTAGATACTTTACAGCAATAGCAGGTACAAAGAGCGAGATGGCTATCCAGCAGACAATACATGCACTACAACACGAGAGGAACGCATAGGGAGGAGTGAGCATACGTGCATAGATATACGGATGGTAGCGAGCGTGATTGACGATATGAAGGGAGATCCTAGATCTGGAAATTGTCAGAGAAGTTGATCGGTGAGAAACCGAACTCGTGGTCGGAGCAATAGGACTGCGCCGAGTGCATGATAGTGTCAAGAGAGGACGAGGAGAAAGGTGACGTCGCCCCAGAAATGACATTGAGATCATTGGACGAAGCCGTTGGTGTGCCGAAGACATACTGCGCGGATCCATTGCAGTCCGAGACTGACAACATGGAGTGCTCATGTAGTGATGGCCCCGGAGTGTTACCAGGACAGGAAGTGCCCGTCTGCTGGTAGCTCTGGCCGTACGAGAGATCATGGTAGCTGGATGACTCTGGTAGGTGAGACGGCCCCGCAACATCTCCAGGAGACAGGGCAGATGATCCCCAAGAATCACCCGAGGACATGGAGTAGTCCATACCATGGACCTGCGCGAAGTCGAAGGTGGGTTCAAGATACTCCTGGAAATCTGTTGACATGTGATACGATAGTGTAGCGTCGAGTGCGGAAAAATCAGGAGTGGTGGGGCCATGTACAGACGCCATGGAGACAGAAGAACTTGCTATCATCGAGATGTCGGAGGCTTCGACCTGCGAGCCATAGAACATGTCGGAGGAAAAGCTCATCATAGTGTCCGACCGAAGCATTGCAGAGAGAGACTGGTGATCGAATGAAGCCCAGGAAGCGAGATGGTCAGCAGCGCTGGCGTCGGAAAACTGCTCTTCGGCCTGTTCGTTGACCACATTGCTCCTAAGTACGACGGAAGGAGGACGCGTACTGATAGACCGCACAAGATTCTCCAGTACTGGTAGGGCTTGAGGCGGAGATGCAAGAATCGATGGCACACGGCGTGGCACCGGGGCGGCCGGCCGAGCAGGGGCCATAGCTTCATGCTCTTCGTTTCCGTGCTCCGTAGAGCCGGCTTGGGGCTGCACATCTGGGGTAGAAGGCGCGCTGTCCGGATCGTAGACGGGCGGAGGGCTGCCAGGGAGAGAAGGCGGTGCGAACATCTCCGGAAGTGTATCACATTTTTCGACCATATTCGATGTGATGTGCGCAAGGAGTTGAGAAGCGATATCCTTTGTCTGTTGACGAGTGAGCCCCGCGGTTTGGCCGACAGGCGCATCCCGCTGAGCCTGCTCCACGAGCTCCGCGGCAAGCCGTATGCAGTTGGGTAATGACAAGAATGGGAGGTTGGCGAGCATCCCAGATGCAAGACCTTGAGAGTGTTCCGTGTTGCCGGGCTGTCCAGCGTTCACCTTGCCTTTCTTCGTGGAGTGATCGCGTTCGTAGTGGCGGCGAATGGACCATTTCTTTTGATGCCTGAAGTCGCAGTGTTCAGTCATGCATTCATGCACAACCTTGGCGGTCTTGGCGGTCTGTTTCTGCTGTTAATGAGTGGTTATTGAGTACAAGTGAATACATGGGAACGATAATGGTACATACAGATTTTGATCGAGTCATTTCTGCACTTCTGGTGAGCCGCGTAATAGCCCGGTACGCTAGGTCTTGAGGATTCTCTGCTGGGGCGCCGGGGTGAAGGTTAGCCATCAGGCTCCTCAAGCTTTTATACCTACGGCCGCCAGGGTCGAGCATGAGCTGGTGTGGCCAGGGAAGAATGTCTGTTGACTACGCGTCGAAGCATCTTTGCTTACCAGCGGTTAAAGCTAGCCAAAGAAATGAAAATCCAGAATTGACCCTGTGGCTATATCGAACGCTGCTGAACAGCCCCGCTACGCCGATTGGATAATCCGACCAAAGCGAATGTCATGCCGATCAGCCGTGGACACTGGATGTACATTGGTTCCCTCAAAATAGACAGATTAAGTGTAAGATCCTCTTGAGAATTTAAAGTCAAAGTAGAACAATGGAATAGGACTGTATTCAGCAGTTGGTATGCTGCTCTGGACCGTCACTTTGACTCGACCGAGTCATCCTGGGACTCTTTGGACTGCACGACACAGCCGATGAGCCATCAAGCTGGATTGAACAGCCGTCAAAGTGAACCAGGTTGGTTCAAAGTGACCGTCATTGCTCGAAATACTTATTTCGTGTACTATCTAGTCATGATCCTGGAGTCCAAGCTGGTCATATACTGGTTGGAGGGGCCTGCGGATTGCGACATTACAAGAGGTCATTGCGATGAGCAATCCTTGAGGACGAGGCTATATTGAACATCGACAAAAGGTACTGTAGAAGGCGGTAGGAGGGTCGCCTGAGGGCTGTACAAGCTCGTGCTCAACTCGAAGTTCTCAAGGGTGATCAGGGCCTTCAGCTGAATCAGGGGATGAAGGCGCCGACGCTGTCGTGGCGGAGCCACCCCGGGCGGGCGGTACCGTGCTGTGTGCCACACAGCACGGGCCCATCAATCAGGGTTTCCGCGCCGCCCGAGATTTTCGGATTTCACTGCAGCAGCTCAAACGAGCGTTCAGAGGCGCAACAAATCCATGGGCTCTCAGGCAATGACGGGCCATTACACAAGCGAAATTTGCGCTGTACATAAATGACAAATTGCATTCCTGGTCGCGAGACTGACACTTATTGCAAGTGCATAACAGCCCAATAATCAAGGACTCCTCATTCATTCTTGTGAAGAAGCCACCGCAACCCATCCTCAAGGTCCTCTTCCCACTTCTTGGCCTGTCCAATGGTGGGAAACCAGAATGGGAACAGGTGCGGTACTCCGGGGTACCTGTGAAAAGTGTCACGACGCCGACGGTCTGTATCAATAATGGTCTACTCACACTTCGATCTTCGTTGGGACATCCGATTCTTTGAGAAGTCTCCCATACAGGAGGGCGTCGTCGCGCACAGGATCCAACCCCGTGACCTGGATAAACGCGGGAGGCAAGTTGCGATGAGACGTATACAGAAGAGGTGAGCATTCTGGATCGTCTGGAGGAGCACCATACGTCTCTGAAGACTGGTTAGCACTTCTCCGAGGTGAAAGTGAGGACGTTACTGACCGTAGCACGAGTATACGAGTTCCTTATCGATACCGATAGCATTTGCGTTCTGCTCCATCGAAAGCAGCTCACTCTTGTACCTGCATCCTGCATTCAGACGATCTCCGGAGCCTGACATAGATGAGATTCACTTACTTCTCAGGCACAACCTCGGGATGTATCACAGCAGGGCATTAGAGAATATGGCCAGTGACCTTCCTCCCGGAGAAGAACGGATCATCCCACGCGCGGTGGGTCAGGATCGCGGCGAGCTGTGCACTAGCCGATGCTCCGCCAACAATGAAGCCTTTAGCCAGATCTACGGACAGGATTGAGGCGTTGTCTGCGGCCTGAAACTGCTAGTAAGCAACGTGTCCTTCTCTGACGCTGACCGTTACCACTTACCCATTTTAGGCCAGCGTATGCGTCGTTCAGGCCGGTGGGGAACTGGTGCTCAGGAGCAAGCCTAATTTTGAAATGGGAATCAGTTTACATCATCCTTGTTTATAATGTATCGCCCACCTGTATTCCACAGTGCAAACCGCTACCTGGAGCTCGGCGGAGATAATGCGAAGGAAATAGTCTTCCATGTCGATGCTGCCAACGCGCCATCCTGTTGTAAAGAGGGGCTCGGAGTGAGCAAATGCATCCAGAATTATATTGTGTTTGCTTGCCCCCAAAATGCATCCAGTAATAAAGCGGGAAGGTGGTATCTTTGCCACTCTGGGGGATAGGTACAATAGACCTGGTAGTGATGGTGGTACCATCTACCGGAACCTCATGGTCCTTGACACGATACTCTGAGTCTGTCGAGTGGATGTGAGCATAAGATACCTAATGAGATGGATTGTCATGTATACCTGCAGGAAGGCGGCCGCCCCAGATGGCCTTCGCCCGGTCAGTCACGTCGTTGTTGAAGAAATCCCGGAAGGCCTTAATATCTACTTGCCCCCGGTTTTGGGGAGGGTGGGCTGCGCTAGCTATAATCGCTGCAAACTCAGGATCGGGAGTGGAGAGGTGGCTGTATTGCGACATCTTGGAATCTTTCACTCGAAAGTTGATGATTGATGATGGCCACCATCCGAGCAACGCACCGTACTTATAGCCTCTGTATTGTCGCTATACATGTATTTCGAACCATTCGGCCTAACGTGGATTACCCCCCACGAAGGTATCAGTCCCCGCCTGTGGGAACAGCATTTACTCTAGCACCGGAGGGGTGATCGCCTCGTTGACAGATGTATGAGAAATATTTGTCAGACGAATACGTGGCCTTAACCCTTTGTCGCGTGTCATTGCCCATGGTAATCACATACGATTAAAGAAGCGGGGCTGTTGTTGGTTGTCTGTGCACCCACATTGGTGGAATCGATGGTGACAACTGACGATGTATCTCGATCCTTCGAAAAATGCACACGAAAATTCAAACGATCAGATGACGATGTCCGGGTAGCATGTAATATGCGAACTTACAGTCTACTGCGGTTGCATACCACTGACCGACGTGGACAACAGACGTGCGTTCACAACCATAACATAGTCCTAGTCCAATCTGAGATAGCACATTGGAGCGACGAGTATGATACCGGGCCAGAGATCTGATGCTGTATGTCTGGCCGATTCGTCATCTAGAGTAAAGCTTACCAACCTCTTTGTCAACATGCGTCGGGGAGGCGCGCCGTGGCGTGCGTCACCCCACGACTGTGCGGCGGGGTGCCCGCGGCGTGCATTTCAAGTGGACGGCGAGCTCGACAGCAAGTCTACCTGGCATCAGACAAACGGCTTCTACACAGCCACTC